CTATTATTTTAGCTATTTTCTTGCTATCTCAAATGTGTTACGATGTGATAACTTCTGTCATTGTTCCCAAGTGTATCTCATCAAGCCTATGTTGTATACATATAGAGCAAAAAAAAGTAGCTGGATGGAAGTGCTTCCCTTGATCTCTTTTTTCCTGAAGGCTCTAGCCCTATCTTTTGTGAAGACAGTATAAAATATACAGTGATGCAGTATGTTGGCCAAACAGCTTCCATCCTGGCATGATTTTTTTAAATGCCACAATTAACTGGAAAATGCTCCACATAGAGAAACCCTTATAAAGGCCTGGCGGTCAGCTTTTCCAGCAAAATCTCTGTTTCAATTTTACACCTCTCAAACATTTATTTTTTTCTTCTTTCTGGACTCATGAGACCATTCTGTAATAGGTGTCCATTCTGCCTTTGAGTGGGGTGTTGTTCATCCCATGGCAGAGTGGGGAGAGGCAGCAGGGAGGAAAGTAAACACTTGTGAGCAGGCAGAGTAAAAATCTTTCTAGGCACAGAAAATTTTGGCCTCATGTTGGTTCCATCAGTCTTCTCCTTTTTTTATATTAAAAGTGTACACTATATTTGCCTCTGTGTGCAAACATTTTACACAGAGCTTTTATAAACTGTGTGACTCATAGCTAGCAAATTTGTGAAGAGGTGATAGTTATGTCGTGATGCAGAAGCACAGATGTAGTCAAGTGCCAGCTGTACAAGGCATCTGTTATTTTGCTTCTATCCCTGCACTGCAGCAGTCACAGAAAAAGATACGAGAGCCTGAGTGTATTTGTGTATTTATTAATGCCAACATTCTGAAGTTGTTGGTGAATCTGGTGAAACCTTTAAAGAAGTTGTTGATATCTCTGCATTAAGCGGCTATTTTAATAATCAGGATACGTAATGAAAATGTGTCAGTCTGCAAGAGTAATTTGCAAAAATTTTATTTGCGACAGACTTACTGTTACTACCAGACCTCAAAACACAGTGTTTTCACATTCCAGTCTTAATCTCTTCCCTTTACATAATCAAATGTGATCAGAGCCCTTCTCATCAATGAGACGTACATGAACCTTCAGTCCTTCAGTTTATCAGAAGAAAAGCTTCTTAGCTAGAAGATTCTTTGCTTTATTTTCTGCCAAACGGTGGTAGGTTGTTAGCACGGGCTGAGATAGGCCATCAACTACTATATTTCAGGCACAGTTACCTGTTCACTGATTAAATGAATGTTCATGACTATTCCTGAAATAGAGAAAGATGCAGTAGTTTTAGTTTCATACAATTCTAAGGTTTCAAGAACTTCCGATTGCTGAGAGATGCTTTTGCAAGTTTGTGGGGCTCTGTCTTGCAATCTGTGGTGGTTTTGGTGGTGTTCTGTGGTAGTTTGGATACTTCTGGTTTTGTAGCTGAAATTTAAATATATTAATTGCACTAAATGTTATTTTTCATCCTCATAGGTGGTGTAATTTTTAATATTTAATATTTGACAGTGCATTTGTTTGATAGTGAAGAAAATTAAGAACAAAGCATTTTGCCTAAGTAAATTTTTTTAGAGACCCTTCAAAGGACCCCAGGATGTTTATCAATAATGATGCTTTGTCTTGCTGAACACAGTAATTTTTTGTATATTTAAATGGGGCATTTTGCTTAGTGTAAATCTTCCTGCTATGTGGTAACAGCAGAATAATGCAATAATGTATGTGGTATGAATGTTACGGAAGAAGGGAAACACATTCATCCTCTGCTTTTGATGTTGGCAGGTTTGGGTTCAAATTCTTCTTAAATAATGAGTGAAAAGGAGTTGTCTACCTTTGAAAAGCTATATTCAGGACTCTGTCTAGATTTTTAACTTTAAGAACATGTAAAGGGAATACTCTAATTGAGTCTGACTTCCTCTGCCATGTGGGCCGTAGAAATCCCTGATTTCCCTGTTCGAAGAAGATTGGGAATTAAGAGTGGTTTAGTGGAGGCCATGAAGTGTCAGAAAAAGCTGCACTGTGCTGCAACTCTGTGATGGCAAGCCAGTTCTAGCTTTTGCAGCCCTGTTGCACATCTTTTATTGCTCAATTCATGTGCTGCTTCTTCCTTTCTTGCTTCCAAGCTTGTTAGACCTTTCACTGAGCCCTTTCGGTGAAGTAACCTGGGGGAGAATTCCCTCTAGAGGAGAAAGAAAGGACAAAGTGTTATTTTTCCGTTGATTTAATACACTAAAATGGGTCAATATAGAATCCATTGCGTGTCGGAGGCTGGGTAAGGAAAGTACACAGAACCACTGAGCCTGAACTTTTGACATCACTGAAATGGAGGAGGGAAGGATAGCTCTTATTACTGCTTGTGAGTAGTGTTGGCTAATCAAGGTACTCTTATTCTGTAAGTGCTAGGGCAGAGAAATGAATCCTTAGATCTGTGTCTATAATCCTCATTCTCCTGTTCTAGAGGAATTGATCTTGCTGCTAGCTGAGGAGATTTAAGGAGGGTAAAGAAAGACCATTTGAAAGGCTCATCATTTTAGAATAGTTGAGAAATAATGTCTTTGGAAAATAAATGAAATTTTCCACTGTTGGAGAATCCTTGCGTTACGGGGTTCTGTTGAACAATGAAATGAAAATCCTTGATTTTTTCCTTTTCAGCGAGTTGAAACCATCTTATTGAGTTGTTACTGAGGCCTGATCGAAAAAAGAACATGACATTATGGATTTCAGCGTTGTGCCATTACTCATTTAGGTACACAGTTGTCAAAGTAGAATTTATAAATTTAAATTACACTAATTTAATGAATGTTGTCTCTAATGAATTGAGAGTGCTCAGTAGCAAATGAGGTTTGTAACAGCCATTACTTTGAACAGGTAGAGGGACTAAAATAGCGAGGAGGAAATGGTAAAGAGAGAAGTTTTTCTAGTGATTGAAACATTTTTTTTACCTTTCCACCTACTAAAAGATTGCCAAAGAAAGATCAAGTGTTTGTGCTTCCACCCTTTTTTGTCATAGTTGGCGGATAAAGCACTTAGCCAAAAAATGGGACTTTTCTGGGAAAGAATTGTCGTCTATCCAAAGTCTCACGATAATACTGAGTGTCTGTGCTGCCAGGGACACAAGCGTGATGGAGCAAGAGCTGCAAGTGTATTATTTTCTGGATATTGTCATTTGGTTTCACTGATCAGATCCTAGGACCATCCTCAACATGTCTGACCTTGTCTTTGTATTTACTTCAGAAAACAATAAAAATGCATATTATTTTCTGATCATGGATTGCAGCGTACCGTGGAATTAAAAGAAATCTAACATTTGGAAAGAGGACTTTTGAATTGGAGCTATGTAGAATTTCACAGTACTTCTGACCTGGTCCATACTACTACTTGATTATTAGCACTTGAACTCAAATTATTGGGTTTTAGCCAGTGTGATTTAAACAGGCATCGGTAGAATGGTCTTACCATGATCAGCTGAAAGAAAGGTATGACATAATAATAATTATTCGAGTGACAGGATTATTACCCGTAATTTTGTTGATGCAATATGTATTAAAGGTACATACTCTTGAGTCATGTAGTTAGCTATATGTCAAGTCAAAATAGAACTGTTCAACATGGGCATATTTGGAAATAGTAATCGGTATCAATTATGCTAATATAATTTTAGCTATATCAGTGATTTTTGTTTTGAAATAAGAAGCTGTGTACCCTTTTATCAAAATATTAATTTCCTGTAGGTAATAAATGTACTTAAATCAAGAAAAAGTTTATATATAGACCTTGCTGTGGTTTTCTAAGTTTTCTAGCAGCAATGAGCTTCTAATGTGAAGTAACTAGACTTGAGTCTCGCTCTTCTAAAAATGTTTTTGAAGTGCTTTTGAAGTGCTTGAAAGTAATAAATAGCACCCTCTAGTTATTAGTCGAGGTATGTGCCTAGAAAAATGTATATTTTGGGAAGAATTTCGGTAGGCAAAATGTCAAAATATATTTTTTCTATTATTTCTTTGATGGTTGTCTTTCTGTGCACATACTGTATATTGTTTCTCTGCTGCATACTTATTGTACATACCGTTTTATTGTCTTGAGGCATTAGAGGTAAACAGTTGGCATTTGTACTCCAGTTCTCCAGAATATTCTCAAGCAGCTTGAGCAGATCCAAAAGACAAGCAAGTGTTGTGTCAGGAATTGTGTTAAACTCTGTAAAATAAAGCAGATATGGGCAATGGGAAACACCCGCTTTTACCAATACTTAGTATATGTTTGTACAGCTGGCGATTTGTGCTCCTTCATATTCATTGACCTAGAAGTAGCCAACATTTTAATGCGTTCTTGGAGGGGAAAAAAGGTGTTATGGAAAAGAACTGCCACATCAAAGCCTCTCCTCAGCTTGTAAAATGGTTTCCACCACTACCTTCTTCAAGTCTATCGGAACACTCAGCACTTTCCCCCTCTCAAAAGAAAGCAAGCCTTTTTATTAAGAAATGACCTTGGAGTTTTATTTATATTAAAATGATAAAAGTGACACAAAGCAGTTGAAAAGATCCATATAGTTCAAACAAAAGTCCATCAGAGTTGTAATGTAAATTCTGTGTAATGTGTCTCTATCAAATCAAGTCATATGATTCAGCTGTTGCATAGAGGCAAGTAAGTACTCCCTTTAGGAAAGTGTTACTTTGCGGAATATTTTTTAAATAACTGGAATGCGGTCTAAAACTTTAATGCCTATCAAATGGCTTGTATTTTGCTGGTCTGATCTGCTTTTCCACAGTCTTATTTGTGACAAAGGAAACTAAGTGCATGATAATTAGTTGCACAATACAGGTTCTTGACTGTTGTGGATATCATAACTTAATTTGAATCATACATTCCCTTAATTTAGAAGGTTTATATTCACCCTTTCTTCTCCAGCATTCTGCCCAGGTTGCTGGATTTTTTATTTAGCATGCTAAATAATATAGGGAGGCTGAAATAATGTAAAAGCGGTTTTACAGAAAAACTTTCCATTAAAATATCTTTTTATTCATTTTAGCACAAGCCCACCTTACTGCTGTGTGGACCTTTATTCTTTGCGAACAGGAGAGATGGTCAAGTCCATACAGTTCAAAACTCCTATTTATGATCTGCATTGCAATAAAAGGTAAGGATGTTTACTGTGCATTCTTTCTGTGTTAGGGCATGCAGAATTTTGGTAATGGCTACAATTTCTTGTATATGCAGTCCCTGACTTCATTATTTTGACTCTCCTGTAAACATAGCTTTGGTTCTTAATTTCTCAAGTACTATTTCCATTTGAATACGACAGTATGCTTCTCCAATGGCTTTCATTTAATAAGCTCAAAACACTTTGCATCTGAAATCATTTAAGCTTCTTTCACTTGCAGTGAAGGGGAGCAGGAATCATTGGAATTCCCTATCATCCACCTGCAGATGGAGAAATGGGATCACTGAGAGCTTAAACAGTATAGAGCACTAGAGTTTATGTCTCTTTTGTTTGTGTTCCATTGTTCTGTCATGTATTGCCTTCCTGCACATCCAAAAAATTCCTACTGTGCAGTCTGTGGTTTACGGGAAATAATGTTCTGGTGAGTCAAATAACAAAACAGCATCTCTTAGTTGGGATAACATCACCTAATTTCTGAGAGAAAATGGCTTAGAAGGCTGAGCATCCTAGAGTTCAAATAGAATAGAATCTATGGTTTCCATAGAATCATGAGTTCAGATTTTTGTCAATTAATTTTAGAACTGTATCTCTCCAAGACACACAAAACTGAACACCCCTGTAGTTTACCGCACCTTTTTAAGATGGAAGAGAACACCCAGGATCCCTGCACGAGGATCTTGATATTCTTGGCACTCCTGATGAGATAATTTGATGCAGTGACTTTGGTCAAAGTCTGTGATGGTGCTGATTGCTTTAATGCTTCCTCACACCCAGCTAGCACTGTTACCAGTCACTGTATGTCTCTAGGTGCCTTGGGGAAGTTGTGGGATATGATTCCTGCGCTAAAGGCAGAGCGCTGACCGAAGACCTGACTGCAGATCTTTGGCAATACGTATTTGCTTACTGGAATTGATGGCCCTTCAGTAAGGAAGGTGTCATAATAACACAAATCATTAAGAACAAAACGAAATATCAGAATAATACGTTTTATGTGCCCGTCTTGTATCACAGTAGGATACATGTATTGCATGCTTGTGTATGTGTAGACCACAAAAGAATATGAGCATGTATCAAACTCATGCAACCAAGGGAAGTTAGCAGTGTTGGAGATCGGATGGGAAAAAATACATTAAAAAAAAAATTTAAAAAAACATCAAGCAAGCCTAGAAGCTACAAAGGTTTTGTTAAACAGACGTTTGTCTATCTTTGTACCATCAAAATCTAAACAGTAGTGGCTACATTAGGTCAAGTAAGTTGCAGAAGGAAAGTAGTACTACTGAACAAACACCTTTAATTCCACAACTAATCTAATAATGAAGAGGATAGTTAGTGGTGTGAATGTTTAAAGAAGTAAAGGATGGTAGTTTTTGTTATCCTCATCAGTCTGCTTATTGTAGGATGTGGATGTGATTTTTATGTCAAAAAATTTTCACTGAAGTGGTTGAGCTGGTGAGAGTTATGTGCCAGGCATAGGTCACTGTTCCTTCAAAAGCTGTCAGAAGGAGTTCAGTACTTATCTCTGCAACTGTCCCTTGAAAAATTTAAAGTTCCCTTGTGTACAGTGTGATGATAGTAAATCTTTCCAGTCTGGCCTCCTAGCAGAAGAAAAATCCAATTGTAAAAACAGTCAAAAAGCAAACAATCGTTCAAAGTTTCTCCCAACTTAAAAGTCTTTCCAGGTGCTAATGTTTCTTTTCCTAAGCTGTGAAAGTGGAAAAGCTACTTCAAAGCTGTGTGGCTGTATCCAGGGTAGTTCCTTTTCTGGAATGTATCAGATACTGTTATTATCCAAGGAAAGCTCACTATTTCAGATTGAAAATGCATTAAATGTGGCCAAGTGCAGTGCTAATGGTGCGTTAACCGTACTATAGCCTAATGGAGTCCAAAATTTGAATTTAAAATAAAGCTTGAGTTGCAGAAGAAGGGAAAACTGTTTATTATTTATGTATTTATACTCCAGCATCATCCATCTGGTAGGCTTCATTTATGCAGAAAGACAGTACATCTTCAAAGAGCAGACAATAATAACCTACAGGTTTGGGAAATACTACAATCAAATATACATAGGTTTTCTGTATATATGTTACACTTGCACATGAATTCAAAGTTTTTCCATTATTCATTTGGTTGAATTTATTTTAGGCTTTGTGGAAGAAGTTAGAATTGATCTATTTTGTTTTGTTTTTCTCTGAAGCATTTTCTCTCTTGCAGTTCAAGCAATTGGAAGATATGTCATTTAACTAAAATTACTGTTTTGTCTAAAACTAATATTAATTTATATATTCAGAGTTTATAACTTTTGGAAACTGAGATTTAGAAATCAGAAGGGAGTGGGGAAGCATCTTTTTCACAATTAGAGCTACAAGCAAATAAGAATCCTACATGAATTTCTTGTATGACTTAACACATCTGAATCCCTCTTGTTGAGTTACGTGTTCTGCCCTCTTCTTTTGGCAAGTAAGCTGCTCACTGGGCAAGTGTACTTGTGCTTCCCCATCTAGGTCTGCAAATCTGTGAACATGAAAGACTTCTGTCCAAAAATATCCCCTTATTTCTACCTTTCTTTCCAAGAATTTGTACTTCTTGTTTCTAGGTAGAGGCATGCTGGTAAACAGAGCAGTGGCAGAATCCCAGGACGAGATGTTATAAACCAGAGTCCTGAAAGAATCTGAGATACAGAACAGTGCTTATTACTTTAATCAGCTTCTGTATCAGACAAATGGAAAGTGGCCAGTGTTAGATAAAAGCAGATAGTGTTTAGATAAAACATTAGGTAGATATCTACAAAGTAGATAGTGTTTAGACAAAGTGCTAGGTATGTATTCATTGAGAGATGCAATTAATTTTTTGTTACATCATAACTTTACAATTAAAATTATTAGAACAGCATTTAATAATGTTCCATATTGTCAGGTAATTAAAAAAAAAAATACCGTCTCGTATTCTTCCTAATGAGAGAATAATCAGATTCTTAATTAATTATGTCATATTGCTAAATGTTCCAGATAGCTGGTAGATTTTATCTATTTGTCAGCTTCTCAGGTGGTTCTTTCATTTCAAGAGTTTAAGAACTTGGTTTTGGGAAGTCATGAATGTAGGAGAAGATGTATCCCAGTTATAAAGCTTTCAAAATGCTTCACTTTCCAAATTTGCATCTTTGGCCTTTATTCGTTTAGACAGTATGGTGTTTCGTGCAGTTATCATGTGGCCTTTGCTATTTGTTTCAAGTAATGAACAATATTTTATAATAAAAGTGTGTACATGCACAAGCGAACACATAAACATACACCTGTAATTTTGCTAATTGGCACAAATTCTGCTTCTCTTGGCCGTGTTTGTGTGCTGCTGTCCTTAGCATGAAAAAAACGCTGCTTTTAGTAAATAAGATGGTTTAATAAATTTGCAATGAGATGGGCAATGGGATTATTTAAAATTTAGCGTGTGTTCTACCGATTGTTGATTTGATTGTTATTTGAGTCACTGAAAGTAATTCAGGATCCTTGCAATTCCATTCTTTCTTTTTAATGGAGCTTTTACTGCAGGAGGTATATCATAAATATGCTGTGTTGTTCTGTATCAGATCTGTGTACTTCCTGAAATGAAGGTTATGTGGTAGGGATGAGAGAGAATCCTCAATAACTGCCATGTATTGGTAACCTGGCAGTTTATCACTGTAGAATTTATATCGATGCTTTTGAAATAATTACATTTAGATATTGAATCTTTAAACCAATGCATTTAATGTTTAAAGTACATGTTCCATTTCTGTGTTTTCAGGATACTTGTTGTAGTCCTACAAGAGAAAATTGCCGCCTTTGACAGCTGTACTTTCACCAAAAAATTCTTCGTTACAAGTATGTATAATAATTGGTTTCAGTCTCTTTGCTGTAGTGGTGGAGTGAGATAAAACAGATTTTTTTTTTCTTTTTTTTTCTAAATCCTCAAAGCAGGTCTCCATGACTTCATTTGGAGTTTCAGGAAATCTGTTGCTTCAGAAAAACCCCAAATGTTACTCTGTGAATCTTTGCCTCATTTGCATATTTATTATTGCTGTAACTAATTTCTCGCTGTTGTGAAGAGCACCTACACTGACATCCATAGGTAGCTGAAAAATCCTTTTGTTCGTTTTGCACAGATATGGGCAAAAGTTTCAGGCTTTGAGTTTCAGGTTGTACACATAGGCAGCAGTTTGAAAACACACTGACAGCGATCTGCCCACTTTTAATTTTTCGTTGTTCCTTAAGCCCAGGTAATTTATTTATTTTTTTTTTTTTTAACGTATCCTTACTTTAGCAGGCCCCAAAGCTCAAGCAGGCCAGTAAAGTGTTGTAGTAGAAAAATTACAGGCAGGTATTTGCCTGCTGGTGCTTTCACATATATCTTGAGCATGAAGGAGCTTTTTGCTCAGACTCCCCTTCATCCTTCTGTACCCTGTGATTTGCCTCTCAGTAGCAGGCAACGGGTTGGAAGGGTGAGGTGCTCTCCAAAAGCTGTTCCTCTACTGTAAGTGTCCCTTTGCTGCCTCAGCATCTGTAACACAGTAATTGATATTTTAGTAGAGAAAAATTGTATGTTTTCTACTGCTTGTGCTCTGCTCTGTCACAGGATGTGGTTAGGATTGGGATGTCATTTACCTGCTCCCAAGATTGTGTGTGTTGTAATTCTAAACACCAAGAAAGTATTCACCCCAGAAAAAAATGATTTTTTTTTTTTTTTCTAAGAAGTTAGTGACTAGTGCTACTGTTTATCAATTAGAATAGCCTCTTAAAACCTGTGTATTACTGAGAGATCATACTTTACTTTGGAAGGGTCAGAGTTTTATTGTTAAAAAGGAGAACAAAATTTTCTGGATGTTTTTTCAGTCACAATTAGAAAAGTTCTAAATTATCTTCTTACATTATCTGTGTATTTAAAGAAAAATCTAGTTAGGAGAAGCTGTTTCTTGCACTAGTTTGAAGAAAAGCAGCTTTATGCAGTAATATTAAAGTTGCCAATAGGTGTCAGTTTATTCCTATACATGGATATAAGATGTTGGGAATCTGCCGGGTTCAGTCAGGAGATCCAAGTGGGAAGGGACTTGTTTGTGCCTTTCTGTTCCTCACTCCTCCTTTTTATTCCACCAAAGAGAATTAGGGTACAAGCTTTGCTTTTATTTTAGATCAAAAATAAAAAAACCCCTCAATGATGTATGTATTTTGACAATTCTTGTGCTTTTCTAATTCCAGTTATTTGTTGGGTTTTGTTGGTGTTTTGTTGTTTGTTTTGTTTTGTTTTGTTTTGTTTTGTTTTGTTTTGTTTTAAAGATACTGCAATTTGTTTTTTAAAAATGAATCCACTGAACTGTGTTTTGAGAAACATGAGTATCCTATTCCTACCCATAACTTTTGATTTGCCATGCATTTTTGTGCAACAACAGTGGAATTCAGAGGATAAAATAAAGCTTTTTGGAGATATTTACCAAATTATTTGAAAATCCACACTCTGAAACGCCACCATTCACAGTATATTCCTTTAGCCGTGCTGTGTTTTTAATCCAAGAAACTGAAGATATTATCAAACTTTTTTCTAGTTCCTGGGTTCCAAAGCTCAGTTAAGGACACCCCTCATTTTGTGCTGGGCATTTCGGAAGGCTGGGGGACCCAGCAGCCAGCTGGAGCTGCTGCCGCCCCAGCCCCCAGCCCAGCTTGCCCGTGGCCAGGGACGGGGTGTGACTGGGCAGAGAGAGGTGTGCTTTTTATCAAGGTGGATGGGATTCTTGGACCTGTGCTGGTGAAGAGTTGGCCTGAGGATTTTGAAGCTTAGTTGGTTCACTTAATAGCTTACGCTATCAAGCGGGTGTTACGCTCTGGCATGTTGAAGGCTGCGGTAAAGCTTTTGTCTAAGCTTTCAGATTTTGTATGTGCTGAAATCTTTGACCTAAGAGTATATCTTTAGAGGCTTAAGTTACTCTGATGTGTTTGAAATTTGATGTAAATGAGCTACCTAGTTAACAGTGTAGATTTTTGATAGTCAGCCAACTGGCCAGCAACTGGGCTCTTTTGCCATGCTTTTTTTTTTTGCTTTTTTTTTTTTTTTTTTTTTAATTTAGGAAAGGGCACTGTCAGTTTAAATTGGAAAAATAGAAACCCTTGGAAAGGAAGCTCAGCAAAAGGTCTTATAGGCCTCTTTGTTTCCATTATTGGAGCATCCCTGCTCTGCAGGACAGTCAGCCAGTGCCCCATCTGGACCCATCCTCAGCTGGACAGGGGCAGTACAAATGTCACCGCCTGCCCAGCGAATTTTTTGTCATGAGGAAGATGCTCAGCTGTTTTATCTGACTGCTTTTGGTCAGAAGCAACGGCATAAAAGGTCAAAAGTATTAAATGAGAATCCTTAGATCTTTGAAGACGTTTCTGTTGCTGTGTAAACCACTGTGTAGAAAAAGAAAATCTTTTATTTTTTCAAGAAGATTTGGTGGTGATACAGAAATCACACCTTCCATCCATATCAACTAAGGGGTGTGGGAGCCTTAGAAGCTCATGGAGACAGCTAAAAAGCAAACATAATTAAGCAGAAGCTCTTGTCAATTTGGTTGACAATTTATGCATAGAAATGAAATGCAGAATGTGCAATTAAAACCAGTGTCAGGAATTCTGAAGTTTGGTGCTCCTCAGAAATGCTAATGCAGCTGTGTAGCACATGAGTAGTATTTGTCTTTCTGTTTTTGTTTTTGTGGTTGAATGTATAGCTTAATATATTGTTGTAATAAATATACCATAAAATATTCAGGATGTAGAACATGGTCAAGTTCGTGCTGCTGTTGGAATGTTTAACTCCTGCATTTCCTGATTTTTCTTGAGGAAATTTGACAGTACTAATCTTTGGGGTTTTTTTCTGCATGTGATTAGATGGAAATGTGTTGATTTGACTTGAATGGCAGAGAGCCAGTGCATTTTATTCGTGCTTTTTGTAACAAAAACTCAGTGTAGAGGTGTTCCAGTCTTGCTGTGTGAGTTTAAAACAGGTGCTTAAACTTGAAGGGAAAACACACTGCAGATATTGCAGAAAAATTACTAGGATATCCTGTAATCTACCCTGTGTGGTATTCTTATTTTTAAATGTCTGCTAAGGAAAGGCATAGCATCAGTCTGCAAAGAACTCAAGGCAGTACCTTTCATACGGCACTCTGTTCTTCCACAGTGCTTACGCTTGGGGCCAACTCTATCTTGTTAAGAGAGGGCTTGCATCAAGGGGAAGATAAAGCCAGACAGTAATTTAGCATCCTACACTGGTTTAAGTGCTCGCATGGCCAAACTAAAAAAATTCATCTGATGCTTGTAATAAGAAGGTGTTTCTTTGGTAGTTGTGAATGTCAAGGTGTGGGTTTTAAACGGATTTTTAAATAGTTAAGAGTTTTATTGTTGTTCACTTAAGATTTCCTTCGAAGCCTTTTTCTGAGTATTGCATGTGACTGAGTGATCAAAAATGAAAGGGATGTACAGGCTTTTTTCCCCCTACTTTGCTCTAAACAATAGATGCAGAAAAGCTGAATTTCATTGATTTCTATTACATCAGTGTTCCCTCAACCCTTCTCCAAAAATGCTTACTTAGTGGAACATTGATGATTATGAATATGGCCTGATGGATACTTTCTTCTCTGTAAAGAATATCCTTCCCACCCCCTGGGCCCTAAGTAAAGATAATCACAGATAACATCATGCATGTGGCATCATCTTTGTGTCCGACAACAAGTGCCTGCTCGGTTTCTCTGGCCCTTCCACTCCTCATATTGATATATTCTCCATCCATTATTCTCTAGGGATGAAGACAGTTATTGCAGCCATTAGCTGGCACCACATTTCTATTGATGCTGTACAGCTAGAGCCTTAAGAGGTAATTTTCCAGATTTTAGTCAGAGTACTTTATTGTATATAAAGTCTCAAAAGACTTGCCTAACCGCAAGCCAAAAGTTATTCAGTATATGTTAAATGCACCCCACCTGCACCTCTCAAAATACATAAAAAAACCCCAAAACAACAAAACCAAAGAGCGTTTGATACTCCAATCTGCAGTTTGGATTTGGTATTCATGTTTTCTCTGACATTCACATGCAAGAAATAATATCATGGTTTCAGTTTGTCACAGGTCTGATCTGGAAATCATCTAGGCTTTTTTTGTACGTTTTTGTTAGCTTTGTTAGAATTCCTTTTCCCTGATCGGCACACAGGGAGCAGTTTGATCTCTTTGCTTTGAAGTGAAAACACTGGATGTCTTAGGAAAGGGTTTAATGCCTGAAGAGTTACAAACGGAACTTCTGGAAGAACACACGTTTCCCCTCTCAGCTGTGATCAGTGAGTGGCATTTATCCTGGATATCCCACATAGTATAATGATTGATAGGATTCCTCTCTCTGAGCAGGGAGGTGCTTCAGTTTAGATCAAAAGTCCTTAAGGCAGGTGGGAAGTGAGCTCCTGGTTCGCAATATTTTCTTGATGAGTGAAGAGAAGCCAAGTATATTCTTGTGGATTGTATATAAGATGGTTTTATTTTTACACACACATATATATCTATGAACACATACCCCTTCATGTAACTTGTAACTGCCATCCCTGAGAGATGTTGATTTGATTTTGCTTTTAATTTTAAAAGCATTTTTTAGAAGAGTGTTTTTTTCCTGAATGTGGGCATCGCTGTATCACTATTGCAGGATAATGTTGAAATACTTTTTAAAAAGGTCTTTAGGACAATGTGGTAGATTTATGGAAACAAATGTCATCTTTGCTTACAGGGTGTTTTGCTCTATTGCAGGAAAGTGTAAATACAACAGAAAAATTGTGTAAAGACAGAAAGCAGGCATTGGTACCCAAGATGTATA